GTTTGGGGATGTGGAGGAGAGATTAATCAGGGAACTTATATGCATACTAGAGGACTGGTGCACGACATTTGTGCACTGGAGGGCAGGTACCTCAGCTCGCCTGCACCCTCTCGCAGTCCAGGACCTCTCGGGGGATGTCTGCCTGCCGGCTTAGGGGACAAGCCGGCAGGCGAACATTCCCTGAGGGGTCCTTAGCGCTCCCGCCACTGAGTTTGCCAGCCATGAGCCCAGATCTGCTCCCTGGTGGTCAGTGTGCGCCATAGCAACCGGTCATTCCGTCATTCGATCTATTTGCTTATTAGCCTTTTCCTATATAGGATGATGAGCTCTTCTCTTAAACGTTTGTATTCAGGTTACTGTAAGATCTTGCCTTAGAGAACACATAGTGGGAGGTTTACACATCTTACAGGGGTGAGTTTGCCTGTCTACTGCAGGAGAATGCAGGGCCTTCTGACCCCCAGAAATGTTGGCTTCCTCTTGACACTGGTCCCAGCTTGCCATCCAGCACAAACTAGGTACTCAACCAACAGATGGTGTCTCCTAGATATGATATGAAGGTCCCCAGATCCAAATAAATTCTACCAGGGCCTAGCTCCCAGTCCACAGCGTTTGCACCAAACCCAGCAGGATGGTTTTAGAGCCATAGCCTGGGCTGGAAGCAGACTTTGCCACCTCTTGGCTGTAAAACCACAGGCAAGGAGCTTGCTCCCTCATTTGCAAAACGGGATGACCGAGGGCCCACTTTACAGGATTGTGGTTCATGAAATTATGCATGCAAAGTGCTATTTTAAGGCCCACCACTAGCAGAAGATGAGACTATTTTGCAGGCGAGGAAACGGGGTATTGTCGGTAAATAAGGGGGAGGGGGGCATCAGGAGGGATGGGTAAGGGTTCCGCGTGGCACGCCGCGGGGTCGCAGCTCTGCTGCCAAAGCTTCCACCGAGACGACCCCGAAAAACGAGTGTTTCTTTGCAACCTCGCGGGCTCGCCCAGCAGAGACCTGGCAGCAGCCGGGCTC